TGTGAATTGTTAGCATTTATCATACATTTAGTTGTATTTCCTAATAACCCAATATTTTTCTAATAATTCTAATAATTTCTAAAATAATACAGGTTGACTTTAAAATTATTTTAAAACAAATTAAACACTAATGACAAATGTTGAAAAAATGTGTGAAAAAAATACAAAGGTCAATTATATAGTGCGTGAATTGCAATTATGCGATTCCCGTGAAGTGCACGAAATCCAGGGGTCTGTCGGCTGGTCGAGACAAATACACGAATCGGAAGTTATTATGAATATCGACCCCAACGGCCAGTATGTGGCCCAGGATATAGACACCGGTATATCACTCTTGATTGTTTAAACTTTATTAATTACTTTTCATTTCATGTGACTTTGTCTCATAATATATTTACAAATATGATTAACATTTAAATATATTACAATTAATTGAAACTATTATAATTTAGTATCATGCTAAATTACAAGATCTAACATATTAAATGTCGTAGATTAATTAATGATATGATATATATATATGATCAGGAAAACTGTTGGGATACTTGTGTGGTGTTAATGTGACTGAGGATTTAGCCTACCTTGGATCCTACAGTGTGCGACCAGAATACCAGGGTCAGGGTATTGGTAAAGCATTGTGCGCTAAGATTATTGAACACTTGGGCGACAGAAATCTCGGACTTGTATCGTCTAAACAAAAAACATTTGAGCTTTACAGAGATGTTCATAATTTCAAGTATATTTCCGACAGACGTGTGATTGTAATGGTCGGTCCACTGACCCCTAACCCACAACTTATTGATAATATCGATGGCATCTCTTTGGTGTCCATCGATGGACACAACGTTCGCGATGTCATTGAATACGACAAACACGTTAGCGGTTTAGACCGCAGTGTACTCATTGAGAGCTTATATAAAATCCCAGAAAATATTAATTTAGTAGCAATTGACGACCATGGTCATGTGGTGGGTTATTGTTTCATACTTGAAACAATTAACGGAGTGTACTCGGTTGAGCCCCTGTATGCTGATAATGAACACATCGCTGAGTTATTGGTCGGCAAATGTGTGGCACGTTTGCCGCCAAACCGGACGTTAAAGTACAGGTGTTGGACCAGTAGTGAAAAGGCACAGATGATAGGCACTAAACTTGGATTGAGCGAGGTAGTCCGAATGTGGACCATGTACACCAAAAAATTAGTTGACCCAGCTCATATTGATAAAGCCTTTTGTCCCGCTAGTATTGACTTTTATGTGTTTTAAAAGTTATAGTGTAATACATAACAATATATTATTTTAAATTTTCATTGAATTATATAAAATTAGTTCATTTCTTTCTAGTATATTATGTTTACATTTTATTGGAAATTCGTGAAATAAAACATTTTCTATTGTTTATGTTTTTGTTGTATGAATAAACTG